CCCCAGCAACAACAGCTTCTCCAAAGGCGCGATGCTAAATTCGCGAGTTTACATGCCCCTGGCGCACGCGCAGCAGGTGAAGAGGCCATGGTTTGCGAGGCAGGAGGCAGCGCAGCAGTGGCAGCTGCCGCAGCAGAACAGGCAGGCAGCGAGGACTAAGAAGAAGTTCTGGACAACGGAATGGGATTTTCTTCCCGTCGAAAGCATACCAGTCGCGGGCCAAACTTTGACAGACACCTGGGGAAGCTGTATCGAGACATCGACGTTCCCGAGCATCTCCCTAGATGAAGTCGGAGATGATCCGCGGGCAGCAGCGGAGCATATTGCACTTAATTAAGCTCAAGCATTTCAATGGGCCGGGGAGGAAATCGGGCAGAGGGCATTCATCGTCCCCGCCAGGAGAAGGGAACGGCGAAGCGAGTCTTCAACGCCGAGAGCACCCAGCCCCAGCCGGACCAGCAGGCCTGGCGTAGAGCCAAACACATGATCGACCCACGAAACCGGACAGGAATGTATAGAAATGTAAGGCATGGCGACGTTTCAAAGACACTTGATTGCGCGACGGGCAATTGCAGTGCTGAGTGTATCGAGATTGATGTGATGTGCCGAGGGTTGCGCTGTGCTGCGCCGTGCTGAACTGCGATGCGCCATGCCGCGATTGTGCTCAATATAGCGTTGTGGATCGAGTCCCCCCTGGCATCCGGGTCCTGACCGAACTGGCATGGATCTTCAGCTCGAGCTGCCTGAGCAGATGGCAGCTGCCTCAGAACTAATCAGTCGACAGGGGGACATGCCAGGAGGACGCGCCGCGGAACGTCCCAAGGGACGCGCCGGGCGACGTGCCAGGGGGCGCGCCATGGGCACGCACCGCGGGACGTGCCAAGGGGGCGCGCTACGGAACGCGCCAATGGGCGCGCCGCGGGACGCGCCAGGGGACGCGCCGCGCGACGTGCCAGGGGGACTCGCCGCGGAACGCGCCAAGGAACGCACCAAAGTGCAATGTTGAGTGTATCGATCTTGATGTGCCGTGCCGACGGCTGCGACGTGCTGGGCCGTGCTGAAGTGCGACGTGCCGCGCCGCAAGTGTGCCCTATATAGCGCTGTGGACCGAGCCCCCTTTGCATCCGAGCCCTGACCGAACTGATCTTGATCTTGAGCTCGAGCTGCCTGAGCACGCGGTAGCTGCCCCAAAACGAATCGACAGGGGGGCGCCAGGAGGGCGCGCCGCGGAACGCCCCAAGGGGCGCGCCATGGGGGCGCGCCAGAGGACGCGCCGCGGGCGCGCACCGCGGCACACGCACACGCACACGCACACGCACACGCACACGCACACGCACACGCACACGCACACGCACACGCACACGCACACGCACACGCACACGCACACGCACACGCACACGCACACGCACACGCACACGCACACGCACACGCACACGCACACGCACACACACACACGCACACGCACACGCACACGCACACGCACACGCACACGCACACGCACACGCACACGCACACGCACACACACACACACACACACACACACACACACACACACACACACACACACACACACACACACACACACACACACACACACACACACACACACACACACACACACACACACACACACACACACACACACACACACACACACACACACACACACACACACACACACACACACACACACACACACACACACACACACGCGCATACACGCTCACGCGCACGACTCGGCACGCCTCTCCCACGCTTCGCTGCCCCGTCCACAGAAAACCTCAGAGGTAGGGTCGTCATGGCGCACCCTCGCCCGATTCGGGACACCCGTCGCACATTTCGTGGTCCCATAGGGAGCTCCGCTGAAGGGCCCAGCAGCTGGGTCTGCGCGCTGCACCCGCTCCCGATTCGGCACGCCCCATGCACGTTTTGTGGCCCCTCAGCGAGCCCCACCGAAAGCGCCAGATGCAAGGTCAGCATGGCGCCCGATTCGGCACGCCCCTCACGCTTTTCGCGTTCCCATCAGGAGTTTATCTGAAGGGCCCAACGGCAGGGTCTGCATGGCGCACGCGCGCCAGATTCGGCACGTTCCTTACACTTTTCGTGGCCCCGTAGGGAACTCCACGCGAGGCCCTGGCGGCAGGGGCCGCATGGCGCGCCCGCTCCCGATTTGGCACGTCCATCACACTCGTCGTGGTCCCATGGGGAGCTCCACCGAAGGCCTCAGCGGCAGAGACGCGCGTCGCACTCGCACCCGATTCGGCTCACCCCCCACGCGCTTCGCGGCCCCCACAGGCAGCTCTAAAGGCCCCAGCATCAGCGTCCACACGGCCTTCCCGCACACGCCCCTTCCACGCGCTTCGTAGTCCTATAGTCCTACAGGGAGCTTGCTAGAAGCCTCCAACAGCAGGTTCCGCACGGCGCGCCGGCACCCGATTCGGCGCGCCCCGAGAACGCCGCGCGACGGGCTTGTCACCCGAAGGCTTCCCGAAGGAGTACGAACGACACCCGGAGTCTAAAACATCTGGTAGCTGAAAAGGCACGAGGCGCCAGGCAGAGCCATGCGCACTCGGAGGCAGAGCGCAGAGGAGCCCCCGCGACGCGCACTGGTGCCCCGAGCCGAGAGGATTCCAGCGGCGCGCCCGGGTCGTCCGCGGCCGGAAGCCATGCAGTTGCGCAGTCGAGAGAAGACGAGGCTTGGGCGGGCCGTTGTTGAGGTCGGGCCTCGCGGAGAGACCCGGTGAAACCTGGCTTCTTGGCGAGGCCGTTGCCAAATTAAGAGGACCCCCGCTCGCCCATGTCTGCTTCTCTTTCCGCCCGCGCCCCAAGTTTCTTGCCAGACCCCCTCCTCCTTTTCATCTGCTTCGCGATGCTCGCAGCTGCATGTGGTTGGGAACGCCACGGAAACCGCAGCTTCAGAATTCGCGTGGCACACGCGCATCCGATTCGGCGCACCCCTCACACGCTTCGTGGTCCCATATGGGGAGCTCCACAGGAAACCCTACTGTCAGGGTCCGCATGGCGTACCCGCGCCCGATTCGGCACATCCCCCACGCGGCCTGTGGCTCCATAGGGAGGTCTACTGGAGGCCCCAGCGACAAGGTCCGCATGGCGCACCCGCGCCCGAATCGGCGCACCCTTTCACACATTTTGTGATCGCACAGGGAGCTCTCCCGAAGACCCCACCTGCAGGGTTCCCTTGGCGCACCCGCGATCGCTTTGACGTGTCCTACACGCGGTCCGCGGCCCCGTTTCGAGTTCCACGCAAGGCCCCAGCGGTAGGGACCGCGTGGTGTACTTACACATTCCGCGACCGCCCCGCGACGCGCTGCGGTCGCAGTGTAAGAGTTCGAGCGGCGCTCGCGGGTGGTCCGCGGCGCGGGGTCCGAATAATCGAGTGATTAACAATGGGTTGGGCGCCAGGCAGAGCGCGGGGGAGTCGGTCAACACTTGAAGCAGAGCGGAGGAGAGTCCCTGCAACGCGCGCTGGTCGCCCCGAGAGGATTCCAGCGATGCGCGCTGGCCGTCCGCGGCGCAAGGCCATATAGTTGGGCAGTCGAGAGACGGCGAGGCTCGGGCGGAGCGGAAAGACCCAGTGAAACCCGGCTCCTTGGAGAGGCCGTTGCCAACTTAAGAGGGCCAACCGGTCGCCCATGTCATTATGCCCCTGCCCACGCCATCATCCTCTTGCCAGCCCCCATCATTTGTTGTTTCATTTGTCTCGCGATGTTCGCAGCTGCAGATGGCTGGGTCCTTCGCCAGGGTAATTGTATGAGGGAGCGTGGGCAGAGCATCTAGCGACGCTTGACGATGGGAGAGTGCCACAACATTGTTACGATACCGCCCTTGGCATTACACATACATACATACATACATACATACATACATACATACATACATACATACATACATACATACGTACGTACGTACGTACGTACGTACGTACGTACGTACGTATACATACATACATACATACATACATATACATACATACATACATACATACATACATATACATACATACATACATACATACATACATACATACATACATACATACATACATACATACATACATACATACATACATACATACATACATACATACATACATACATACATACATACATACATACATACATACATACATACATACATACATACACACATACATGCATGCATGCATGCATGCATGCATACGTACGTACGTACGTACATACACACATACATACATACATATATACATACACACATACATTCATACATACATACATACATACATACATGCATGCAGACATGCATACATACATACATACATACAGACATACATGCATGCCGCATACGCACAGACGTTGCATGCATGCGTGCATGTGGATAGGTGCATTGCTGATTACATGCTTAAGTGCATGACCGTCGGGTCCAAATACAAACTTGCATTCACATGGTGTGTACACATGTATCTACACTGTGTGTGTTGTTGTGCATGCGTGGGCATGCTTGCTATGTGTCGCGCTCGCCGTATCCATCACACTGGTAACTATGCCAGCATACATCGAAATACATATAGCTTTGCCCGCCGAAAGGATTCGCCTACGACCCCAAGGGGCGCCCAATAACATGTTTGGAGGCGCTTTACACACCATGCATGCTGGCAGTTTGGACTCCAAGCCACGTTCCCGAGTCTTCTGGGGAAGTAGCGCGGGTGATCCCAGCAGCACCAAGAGCGCCCAATCATTCCGTGATTTAGAGGCCTTGGGTCCGCAAATATTCATTATCAACATCTCTTGGAAGCGGGCGCGACGGAGTCTGAGGGTGATGACCGTGATCGCATGATATTGTGTTGACGATCTTGGGATCGATGGGAGGTTGGCAGAGCAAAAGTGAGGATGACGCTGACGATGAGAGCGAAGAGAGACAGAAGGGGTAATGGAGCAACGAAGCGAGAAATGGGATGGTGGGTGAGTCGTTTCTTGCGCCGGGGTGTGTGGGGGGGGGGAAAGATGCTCTTCCCTGGGCGCGCCAGGACGACGAGGACGAAAAGCAGCGGCAGCCTGCCTTGTTCCATAAGACGAAGATGTGCAAGTTCAACCAGCTCGGCAGCGCCCCCCCCCCCTCGCAGCGAGCCAGTGCGCGGGGCGGGTCCCCGGACCACCCTCCTCCTGATCCTTCCAGGAGGCCGGAGAGCGGGAGGTGTTTGGGGCTGCTCAGGGGTTCCAGGGGGCCTCCGCTAGCCTCCCGAAGGCTCTGAGGACCTCAGGAGGCCTCTGATCTAGGCCTCCTAGATGGGGTCGGAGTAGATGGGGTCGGGGGATCCTGCCGCATCGCCGATGCATCGGCGATGCATCACCAATGCGGCTCGATGTGGGCCCACTTTCCTACTGGCCGACGTCGTCGATGCATCGCTGATGCATCGGCGATGCATCGCCGATGTATCGGCGATGCAGCGAGATCCTCCGACCCTATCTACTCGGACCCCATCTAGGAGGCCTCTATCTGATGTACTCAGGTGCCTCTGGCGACCTCGGCCAATGAGGGCGGCGGGTGCCCTGGGGGTGGGGCAGGAGGGAGGCAAGGGAGTGGCCAGGGCCTCCAGAGTGCAGGGCAGGGTGACAGGGTCACTGTCTTTGGTCCACCCCCTCTGCCCTCCCTTCCCCTCCAACCCCGATAAGTCGCTACGCTTGGCCATTCAGGCGGCGTCCTCGTTGGGCCATTGGCCGTGCCCCTGGCACCGCCAAGCACCCCAGCGACTGGCGCGCACACGGTGCCCACGCACGAGGGTCACGCCGCGCCTCCCGCCGTCGTGCGCCTTGCCGTGGCAGGCCGCCTGAGGCACGACAGCGCCAGCAACTGTCCCAGCTGATAGACTCCGGCGGCAGTCGGCGCACACGGTGCCCTTTGCGCGAGGGTTTCGACTGGATTTCTGAGTGACTTGTGTGTTGGACCCCCCGCGGCACCCCAAGAAGCCGCGCACCAAAGGTCACTTTCATCCGGGGTTTGTCTTGCGTGTAGTCGAGGGCTGTGCTTTGCCTCCGCCGTCATGCGCCTTGCCATGGCCGGCCCCTTTGAGCACGACAGCGCCGGCAGCTGTCCCAGCGGTTGCGGCGCCGACGGCCGTGCATCCCTGGAGGCGGGCAGCTCCACGAAGCTTGCACAAGCAGCATTAAGAGGAGGATCACGGGCCGCGCTGGAAAGCAACACAAGGCCGACTATGTTGATGTGTAGTTCCCCGCGGCTGCGGACGAGTGCGAGGGGGGCAGGGGTCGTGGATGGGTCCGCGCGGGAGAGGGCACAGGATGACGTGCTCCACACCAGCATAGACAAGCCCGCCGCAGGCGTCATCTTTCTATTGCGCAGCAATGTTCGGCGGGTTTGGAAGTCCCCCAGCCTTCAGAGAAGTTTTCTGAGCCTTCCCCGAGGGAAAATGTCTCGGAAGGCCGGAGGCTTTCTGAGAAGCCCTGCTGTATTCTGAGAAGGCCTGATCCTTCTCACTTCCCCCCTCGCTCGCCGTCGAAATTCTGGGCCTCACAGATGGTGTCGGAGCAGAGGGGTCGGAGGCTCGAGCCGCATCGCCGATGCATCGGCGATCGGCGTGGGGAGATCCTCCCCACGCCGATCGCGCCGATGCGTCGCAAACCTCGCCGATGCATCGACGATGCATCGCTGATGCATCGGCGTGGCATCGGCGATGCGGCGCGATTTTCCGACCCCGTTTGGAGGCCTCGAGAAAAACGTGGGCGGGGCGCTGGTGCGTCGCGGTGAGCGCGGATCGTGGGCGCGGCGCGGCGCGGGTGGGCCGCCGGGCGGAGTGCGGGTGGGCCGCGATCTGGGCCCGCGTGGGTGGGGCAGGGCGGCGGGGCGCGGGTGAGCATCGCGGGTGGACATCGCGGGTGGGTTGCGCGGGGCGAGGCGCGGGGCGATGACGACAGGAGCGGCAAGTTGGCGGCGCGCAGAGGGGGGAAATCAGGGGGAAGGGGGGAAGGCTTCTGAGAAGGAGGCTGCTTCTTAGAAGGCCCCAGTCTTACATCTGCAGACAAGGCTCGCGCCTTCTAAGAAGCAGGGGTGCTTCTACGAAGCCTTCCACCCTCCCCCAGATGTACCCCCTTCGGCGCGTGGCCGAGCACGAACAGCCAGCAGTCGTCACCGCGGACACCCCTTTCGGCCACGCACCCAGGGGCAATGCATTTGGCCGCGGAGGGGCACATATGCATGTCACGACTCACGACTGTCGTGCATTCGGAGACCTGACCTCACACACATGTGACCACGCTTGCGTAAGCAGCACGGTGAAGCCCTGCGCGCCCCTCGTGCCTCCATGTGGCGAAGCTACTGTCTGCGGTTGTCCCTCTGCGAGTAAGTGCTTTTGGTTGTTTTGACCTAGTAGGGTGGAGGGAGGAAGAGGGAGGAAAGCAGGGGAGGATGAAGACGGAGGACGGAGGAGAAGGGACGGGAAGGAGGGAGGAGGAGGAGGAAGGAGGAGGGAGACGGCGGACTCGTGGACAGCGGGACTCGTGCTGATTCGTGCTCGGCCGCCGCTTGGTATCCAGAACGCAGTGTCCAGAGCGGCAAGTGTGCGATCCGCTCCTCATCGCGGTGTCTGGCACGTTTCCGCAGGAGCCAGTATCTGAGGGGAATCGACCTCTGCCGCCGCCCCCCCCCTCAGATTGCTTCCGTGGCTGCGGTTGATCGGTCGGTTGGTTGGTTTCCTTGTCGGTTGGTTGGCTGGCATCTCGGCTGCTTGGCTTTGCAGTCGACTCGGGCTGTTTGCTGGCTGGCTGGTTGCGCGCGCTTGCCACAAGCAGTTTGGGAAGGTGACCTCGGGAGCGCACTTCCGCTATACTTTACGAAAGTTCGCGGCTTCGGGAGCGCGCGCCCCCATTTGTTTTCGAGCAGTTGAGGGCGCCCCCAACAGACGTGATGGTGGCGCTTTGGGCAGCTTCCAAGGGGTGGGTTCCTCGCTGCTCCTCCCTCCCTTCTCGTCCCCCTCCCCCCTCTTTCCTTCCTTGGCATCCCTGCCATGCCGCCTGATGCTCCACTGCTTCACCGAGGCAGTATCCATCCGATGCATTTCGGGCCACCCCGTGCGCGTCCCGCATCACGGAGCCGTCTTGCTGGACGAATGTGCGGCCGCCGCGGCGGCTTGGCGCCGGCGGGTGTGCTCCTCCTCCTCCTTCCCCCCTCGCGCCCTGTTCCTTGTCGCCTCCGTGCCACAGTTCGCTCACGGTGCACCCCACCGCTTGTTGACAGGCTGTTTTAGATCGTGTGGCGTCCGCGGACTTGAACACTTTGCTGATCCGCTACGCTCCGAGGAGTGGGCTCGCGGCCTCGGGTACGCAGCTCGCCCCGTTCTACTCTTCCTCCTCCTCGGCCTCCTTCGCGCCGCCCGTGGGGCGGGCGCGACGGCGGCGGCCGACCGCGCGGGGCGGTCGAGGTCGCCAGCGTGGCACCGACGCCTGCGCCGCCTTCGGTCGCAGGCGCGTGCGCGGCTGCAGTTCAAGAGGGACGTCGAGCGGCTCGCCGTGCACAACGGCAGCGCGCCGCCGCGTCGCACGCATGCTGATGCTGGAGGGACGGTGGCGACGGCGGTGCACGGGGGCGCGCCTCGTCCCGACGCGTGCCAGCATTGCGAATGCCGCAAAAACGAGACGTCATGGCATTGGTGCTGCCAATGCAAGAAGCCGCTGGTCCTCGTCGCGGCTCGTCCCATTGGTGCTGGTGGGGGTGCTCGTCGCGACCAGCGGCGCCCTCCGAGCCGAGACGGCGGCGGCCGCGGGGGTCGAGGCGGCCCGCCCTGGCGCGAGGCGGCAGGCGGCGCCAGTGCCAGTGCACGCTCGGCGCCTCGGGGCCGCGGCGCCGGCAGCCGCGGCGGGGGCCGCGGCGTGCGGTTCGCTGCCGACTCGGCCCCAGCCCCCTCGACGCGGGCCCTGAGGAGGCGAAGTTCGTCCAGCTGGTGGAGTTGCTTCGCCTCAGCGGCGAAAGCCCAGGGCAGGCCAAGCACCAGGCGAAGCTCGACGAAGTCAGGGCCCAGCGCTTGACCAGGCCCATGTCGGTTGATGAGGCCTGCAGGGCCAAGGGGACGGCGGCGGCGGAGCTCCAGGAAGCCACGCTGGAGGCCGAAGAGCTGCAGCGGCAGCTGGACGAGGCTAAGGCGCGAGTAGGGGAGTGCTCGGAGGCCCTCGACCGCGCCACCCAGGCGTACACGGCGGCGGTGCAAGCGCCGGCGACGACCGTGGCGCCCCCGCCCGACGCCGCAGCGCTGCTGCGCCTCAGCCTCTCTTCCGTCTTGGCGGGGGATGAGGCTTGGGCGCTGGACGACGAGGGTCGTTTCGGCCTGGAGGAGCTCGAGGGCTACGACGTGGACGACAGCGATGGGCAGGAGGCGCAGCGGCGCCGCTAGGAGTTGCAAGACAAGTTCGGCAGCATGGCGCGCGAGCCCTTCGGCCAGTTCACGGCCGACGTGCAGGAGCTGGAGAGAGCGCATCGCGCTCAGCGGGGCCGCCTCAGGGCCAAGAAGCGGAGGACTAAGGAGGCCCCTGCGGATGGGGGCGCGTCAGCCGAGCAGGCGCCCGAGGTGGCGCGGGAGGCAGCCCCTGGCGCCGGGGCGCGGCCCCCCGCGGCGGCGCTAGCGGCGCGTCCTGACGCCGCGGCACGGGCGCCCGCGTCGGCGTCGGCCCCCGGCGCAGCAGCCAGGCCTGCCGCCGACGTCATGGAGCAGGGGCGAGCCCGCTCGGCAGCTGCGGGGAAGGCGTCGGGCGGGCCACCAGGCCAGGCCCCCCTGGGCGCCAAGGGCTTTGGGCGCGGCGGCGGCGCGGCAGCCTGAGGAGGCGCGAGCCGCAGGCGCGTCGGACCCGACGAGGCCCCTGACGTCGCGCGGCGGCACCCGCCTCGCAGCACGACCGCGTGCTGAACGACAACTGGCAAGGCCGCGACTCTGGGGAGTGCGAGTTCAGCCATTATTATATCGACTGCTAGGTGTTCGCCTGGTCGGCGACCGGCTGCGACGTCAACTGGACTCGGGAGCCGGGCAAGGGCTGCAAAATCCGTGGCTGATAAAATCGACCTCCGGGAAGTTGTCTTCGCCCTTCTGGGAAGAAGCCCG